TGTATATAATGATGGTGTGTTCGGTCATGGTTTGCTTAGTGCATTTACATATTATCATAGCTTGATATCGGCTACGGTCGCAGGAAGTGACTGTCTCCACCGGCTATTCACAATGTTTTTCCCTGTACACAGCTAATAGTGCTATCGTACAGCAGAGGATAATGGACATGTTTGAAATTCATTATCAGTTTTGTGTGACGGCAAAACTTGATAAATTGTTTTGTTATCGCATCCGACGCGTTTTACCCTTTATCCAAGTGTTCTAGCTCGTTTGAATAATTACTATTATGCGTACCCATTTACTGATTTCTGAACACTGATCGAAATTTTAATCGTAGGGGTTCTTCAGTTTTGAAATTTCTAATTTCGGTTGACTACAAGGTGGTCGTTTTTAACGTTATCTGTTAAAAAATGAACATTGTCGAATGGATATAATATGTTTTTTTTTATAGCAATAGCTTCACGGCAGCAGCTGGTATTCACTATGCACAATGCGTTTGGAGATTTATTGCCCGTATCGCAGCTCTGTGATAATGTCCATTTAAGAGCTGTTGTGGCTCATTAATTGTAGTTTTTGTATTTTTATCAGTTTTTACTTCTGTGGTCCCACAAAAGATGTTCAAAAGCAGAAATGCTTGTTAAATAATATTACATTTACATTTTTTTAGCCACATCGTCGTCGTTGACGTGTGTGCTGTTGTGTGTGTCACAATTATTTAACGACAAATAACGCATGATATTATACCGCTTACTTGCTTCTGAACAAACGGCACCGAGTGGATAACCTACTTATGATACACTAACATGGTCAGACTACTTAAGTTATTGTACTCGAGACACAATTGCGCGTGCATGCATTTAATTTGGACGTTTGGCCACACCGACTGTGTGTTGTTGCTACATCTATCGGTCACCCAAATGGTTTCATGAAATTCCTTCAAGTTGCCGACGCGGATAAACTATCCATCATAATTTGTTAAAAACAAAATACTAGTCCTACTTTTAATTTGTATGTAGACTATTCATTTTAGACGCTAGTTGTGCGCCTACAGTCATTATTCCCTACTTAAAATTCGATTTGGACAACTGAGACAATTTTTAAATGAACCGCCATAACAATATGTTCATGGTAAAATATTTTGTCATTTTTTTTTTTTGTTCATTTTGATGTTATTTATTATACATTTGATGTATTTGATCCAATTTTAACGTCGGCTTCCGATAGAAACCGACTTGAAAACGCTAAGGACGAAATTGTAATAAAATCGGCTCGAACATAACCATAATTTATAATATTTAATTTGTTTGTTTCTTTTTTTAATTTGTGTTGTTTTTTGTTAAGCCTATTTGTTTTGTTAAAAAAACTTGTTGTTCTTTGGAAAAAGGACATAATAATATGAACCTCCTCGTGTACATTTTTAGGGAAATAATTTGAGAAAACTCACATAGCACATAAGTCGACGAAATAATTATTTTTTTATGTTATAAAATAAAAGTATTGAAAACTTTTAATAGGCTCTTTCTCAAAACAGTTATTTTGCATATATATATATATATATATATATAGGTCTTTTGCCCGAGAATGCATGAATCAACAGTATTAATTACATATTGATTTTTTTTGTTTTTGGGACTTAATATATTAGTATTTTGATTGTTGTTTTCGTTATTTTTTCTTGACCTAAACGTTGACGGTTTACAGTGTAATATTATAATTCTGAAAACCTTGATAAAAGTTTTGTTCTTGACGAACAGAAAAAAAAACGATATTAATATTATAAGATTATATTGTTTTTGCATATTTCGTTATCGGCTGGCAAAAACGTGATAATTGACTGTACACGCAATACCAGCAGTCGTGATTAATATATTAATGAAACTATTTTAATATTACTATTAGTACGATTGCTTGTTACAAGTAAGAACACGTTGCTGTTATGGCAAAAAAAAAAATAAAAAACATTTGAGTGACGCATACAAGAATTGCGGATATTATATTATTCGCATATGGCGATAAAAAAAAAAAAAATGAAAAAAAATTGACAAGTTTAATAAGCAGTTTGTTCGCGCGACCGAAGATTGTTACCTTCTTGGGCTGAGGTCGTACATAAAGCAATATTATATAGTGCTTGTATATATGTATAATATTACTATACAAACGCTTGTACTCGCCTGTTTGTCATGTACTTAGGTATCTCCATGCCCGCGACATTGTATATTATATTTTTATCCACTTAGCTTATCCGGCTGACGCGCGTTCCACGTACATTTTTCAACACATTATGTCATCTCATTATTATTATTATTATTATTATTATATTGTAATAAAGCGATATGCAAAAATTGTTATTCCCGTTTCCTATAAGAAGAAAAAAAAAACGGGTTTGAATTACCCGTAAGTATCCAATATGCCGTCGCGTCTATTGGAAAAGACCGTTCTCGGTTATTATTATATTGTAAGCTACGCTGGTTTTTTTTTTTTTTATTGTTTGAAACGTATATTATTCCTTCGCCTGTACGCATCACAATAGTTTATTAGCAAATACCTCAAACAATAGTAAAAAAAAAACTACAGCCGTGCCCTACATGCGCCTCTCCTTGTGCAGCGGTGTTTTTTTCTCTATAATATGTTGCATTAAACCTATATTATGATAATAATCCGAATAGGTGTACATTTTGCTCTTCTTCTTCCGCACACACACACATACTAGAATGGGGTAAAAAAATCCAACCAAAATGTTTGATACTTTATCATCCTTTTTGTACGTCCATGGTTGTTCTGTATTTGGATTCCGCTTGAGCATCGGCTGTTTGTCATTAGCATATTATTAATCATTGTCTCGGAGAAAATAACGTGTGGCAGGTAAAAAAAAAAAAAGAAGAAACATTAGAATGAAAAAAAGAGTAGTAGTTAAAAGTGCACAATAGAGAGAGGAGAGTGTTCGAGATACAAGAGACCGTGAACGACCGACCGGTGTCTGGTTCCAAGACCTATTTACCGTACAAGGAAGTGATTTTAATGCGCGCAATATCGTTTCAATGACGAACCGTTTCATCTCTCTAATACGGTTGTGCGTGTGTGCCCACACGTTGTGTGTACATAATAATATAATATTTCGTAGAGGAGCTAGTTAGTTAAAAAAAAAAAAAAAAATTAAAAAATATAACGTATATATCATCCAATCATGGACAGTTAAAAAATTGTGTTTTGATTACACTGCTGTGCGGACGGCGGTTTGTTGACCGACCAAAACACACTTATTACTGCTGTTTAAACGCCAATTGTTTGGACATTAATATAATAATTAACGTTGATTATTATTACTGTTCGGAGAGGAACTTTTTTTTTTTTAACACATGCCCCTCGTGCATTGGTGGGTGTTAGTGTTAGAGGTTGAACGGCCGAATTCCAAGCCGGACGCACCTATCCGTATCCGACCACGGACTGCAGCAATTAACTCTCTGGTCCGGTGTATAATGATTTTCAATTGTTCTGACCGATCTCTGTGTTATCCCATACCCCTCGTTTACTTATTATTAACGGTACGCAGACTTTTATAATGACTTACGTTCATACCGACTTGGTGGCGCACGGGGGTTTTATAATAACAGCACAATATATGCAGTTGGATAAAATCATGCCTACCAAAAGATGAATGCATTTTTTTTAAATTAAGAATTAAGGAACATATTATATGTAATATAAAAATTAAGTTATATACACTCGTAAGACTTGATTAAAATTGTATGACCCTTCGGCGAGTGCACGTGCAGTTGCTGCATTTTACATATGGTAAGCTAAATGAGCGCCATTGCTTAGGTACTTAAACTGCAAGCGAATAATAGCCGCAATAACGTTTCTTTTTTTTATGGTTTAAACAATTTAAAAACGTTTGAAGGTTTTTTTTTTCATTATTATTATTTAATGGATGGTTTTTGCGAGAAACGTTTGCTCGATTCGTTAAAACCGTTTAACGTCGTTGTGCGGTCACGTGTCACGCCACATCGAACATTGTGTTTACTGATTACATAATTTTACCTATTATGAGACCGAAATTCATAAAGCCGTGTAAACGAGGGTCGCAATTTTGAGCTGTAGACGGAAGACAAACAGTTAACATCCTCCACCACCACCACCACCGCCACCCTTGTTGTTGCAGCCGCCAGGGCGTGTTCTCGGATAGAATCAATCTGTAGGGGATGCCCAGACGACGGTCCAGGGGTTGCCAAAGGCACTCTATCAGAACACCAAACACACCCTTCTGCTGGCCGCACACCGTGTGTGCAGTTGAAATATAGTTGTACATGGCGTTTAATATTACAAGCTGTGTATATCGATGACATAATATATATTTCAGTGTAGAAAACAACTCTGGTTTCGTCGAAAACAGTGATTTTTTGGCAACTCTTGAGTCATGTCTAGGAGGACGTATCCACCTCGATTCGGGTTATTGTATACAACGGCCGTTATAGGTTGTGCCCAAGGCTGTCAAACTAAAAAAAAATGACTCTTCGTCTACTTTTTAAGTGCATATTTTACAAAACACGATTTTGCACTTAGTCATCGGTTTTAATAATATGATTTTAAAGCGACAAAAAGTAATTCGCAGTATTCGTCGGTTCTACTGCAGCTGCTGCAACAGGGGGGTTTGAAATTTATCAAACGTAATGGGGGTTTACTACCCCCTTGTAATAATATGATCGATAATGTCTCCTCGGCATCCTGTAAATTTTGAATGCATTAACAACTTAGGTAGACCGAACTCGTGTATGGAAAATATAACCACGGTAGACTATAGGGTAAATTATTTTACGGTGTACAACGTAGAGTTTTAACAGATGAAAAGCTATTTTTATTTTCTAAACTTGTATATTCATTGGACATGAATCATCCTCTTTTTACTAAAAATAAATCCTCGACCACGATAGCTTGTTGGTAGTTCCCAGAGTGTGGTGGCGCTTTTATAAAATCTTATATTGGTTACTTTTATTTTTTTTAGATAACATGAGTTCTCCGTCGTTGAAAGATTTGCCCAAAGTGGCCGTCGACTTGAAAAGCCAACTAGAAGGGTTCAACACCGAAAACATGAAGAAAGCCGACACCAACGAAAAAATCGTTCTTCCTACTGCCGAAGGTGATAAAAATAAATAATAATTTTTTTTTTTATAGTTGCTTTCCAATGTCTAGCTATATAATTTTGAAGGGTACCGGGAAAAAGCCAGCAAAGTCACTTTTTTCTAATCTAAGATAAACATGTTTAAGTAATGCTAAAAAATGTTTTAAAATGGTAAAGAAATACTTAAAAAAAAAAAACTTTAAAATAATTGTATATTATTGTTTATAATCGTGCTTAAACATAAAGAACAGATTTGTTTTGTGTCAAAACGAATTTTATGACAAAAAATTGTCATTTTTAAAAAGTGACTTTGCTGTACCCTTCATATATTAGCATATTATTAGCTGTTGTATGCAAAGGGTTTATGTGAATGTATTTGTGGGTTAAGTAGACTTAAGTTTGCAGTCCGGTAATTAAGCGTGCCCAAAGAGCTTGTGTTTTTTATTTTTTAAGCATAATGACTCATATATATATATATATATATATATGGTCGGTTAACTTCTTTAACTTGTTTTACTCATTAGCCATTTTAGTGGCGGTGTGGTGATCGTTATTTTTACAAGGGCACATGCTCGACTTTCTTTTGTATTAAGAGCGGGCGGTGGGAAGTAACTCGCATAATATAAGCATGTATAGAATTAAAATGGATTAAGTAAGGGGTAGTAGGTCCTTCACGACAATGATATTTTGTCCGTTTGAATATAGTATTTCAATTTTCACCACACCGCACTTGCGCATTATGGTTATTATGAAATCGGTGAAAAAACAAATGTACAATCTATGAGAAAAAAAACAAAAAATCGAGTTCCACGTTTGGTCTTCGCTATTTGGGATCATTCTGTAACTTTGCCAGCTGATAATCATCATTAAAAAAACACTCGCTATTTACATTTGTTGTGTAATAATAATAATTTGGAAAAAAAATGAATTAAGGTTTTTTTATTTTAAGTATTTATTGGTTCTATGAAATCTTACAGCGATTCCAACTGGTCTTTGACATAATTTATGTAACATATTTTTCTCAGCTTTACAAAAATAATAATACATTGGGCCGAAAACATCCTTTTTTTTTTTATAAAATAAACATGTACAATTTACACTCTTCTATTGACGTGTAATGTAAAATATTCATAAAAAAAAAAAAAATCTAAAAATATGTTTTTTAACGAGGACTATCCCAAAACTAATAAGTTACAAAATTCTATCCTAATTAGTCGTGGATCCCAAAAATGGTACTAGATTTGGTCTTTATCTATAACACAAGTGTCTGTTGCTAATTCGATACACTTCAAAATCATATTAGTATATGTGAAATATTTGAAAACAGCATGACACTACATCCATTATCCATTATACATCCATTATAGGTAATATATTTTAGAGCTGTTATATATATTATCAATTTGCTTGATGCTTCAGTTGGGGTATTTGCACAACTCGATTATGGGATATTTCCAAATAGTGTTAATTTTTTTTTCGATTGTTATCTCATTGAAATACAAATATATTCTCACCTATGAAGTTAACACAGTGACTATAATTAAAATATAAAAAGTTAATACTATTTTTTTTTTTTTTATTCAGTTGTCGCTTTTATGATATTCATTAGTTGCTTACACGTTATTGTTGTTGTTTTGTCTGCATATCGTGTGTTTGAATGAGCCATGACATTTTTGGGTAGCCCTTAAGTTGTGTGTTTAAGCTTATAGTTTTGTTTATAATTATTATCGAGTATTGCTAAAACGCTTGCTGTTGCTTTTTGTTTGTTTGAAACGTTATAAAAAAGACGTGCAACGCGAACGCCAACATAATGACTTCATCAACGACGTCAATAACTTTAGCCCGGATAAGCTTAAGAGAACAGACACCATGGAAAAAGTTATTTTGCCCAACGCCCAAGGTCAGTAATTTCTAGTGCAGTAGTATTATATTTGTGCTTTACATAATATTTTGTTGTCGGTTTTTGTGTTATGCATTCGCAGAGAGAGAGAGAGAGCGTGCGTGCATGCATAATTTGTGTAAATTGAAAATCTAAATCTAATTGCACTTTTGGTCTCGTTAGATGTGGCTCAAGAGAAAACCCAAAAGGCATTCACAGAGGCACTCATCGAGGGTGTAGCCGGTTTCGATGTCGGCAAACTCAAGCACACCGAAACCCAGGAGAAAAATCCACTTCCCGACAAGAACGGTAAATAAGAAAGTTGACAAGATAAAGTTGGCAGATAAAGCGGTGTGTTAACACGGATTTCAACTATGTTTTTTTTTTAAATATCTAGCAATTGAAGTGGAAAAGGAGCAGAAACAATTAATATCTGGCATTGAAAACTTTGATCCTAAAAAGTTAAAGCCCACTGTTACCGAAGAAAAGAACCCGTTGCCTACAAAAGAAGGTGATACGATAATTATTATTTGTTTATCGAAATATCCTTTAAAATCGTTTCTTAAAAAGACCAGTGCCCGTTTTGATAACGATACAAAAATACTGCCACACGTTAAACACATTATCGGTTACTGTGATACAATTTGTCGTTATTTTTTCATGTACAGTAATAACCGTATCAAAAATAAAATTATACATTTAAAAAAAAAACTTTTAACTAATTATTGTTGAAAATGTGAAAGTAAAAAATTAAATACTTGTTATAAATCCAAAATAAATAATATAGGTACGTAATACCATAAATATACTTATTCTAAAAATTTGTTGTAAAGATATTGTATAAAACTAACGATGAAAAAATCATTGTCATTTTGCTCAAATTGTAAATTTTACTGTAGGTTGGCTTATAAAAGTCGTTTGTACCCCTTTTGACTCTGACCACTTTATTTCATCTGCATTTGATGCACATTTTTAATTAAAACGCTAATCAAAAAATTGTTTTTTATTTTTTATTTCAGTCATAGCCGAAGAGAAACAGGCGTAGTTCCGTCACTGGCTAACGGGCACAAGATGGATATATATATTATTTTATTCTTAATACTCTTACATTCGTGTTGAGATTCCCACGGCGTGGCGATTTGATTGGTTTTCTTTTTATATATTTATATGTATTTTTTTTTGTATTGAATTTTTTATATGAAAATCGGTATTTTAAAAACCAAAATCTAGTGCCGTCTTCTTGATATATATTAACTATTTAGTTAAGTAATTAATGTGTTTTTAATGAATTTTTTTAACACTAAATTAATTTATATTTATTCCTTTTGCTTTTTATTATTTTTATACATATACATCTATATCTATACACCTATAACCGTATACATTCGTATTATATTCTATAACGTCAATACAAAACATTATCGTATGAATAGTTTATATATTTTGCGAAATAAAAATCAAAAAAAAAAATGTATACCCTTTTTTGTTTAGTCATGTTGCTTGTTTTTTTTAAAAAAAAATTTTAGTTCTAAATATTGTGACCAATCTATTTCCTTGTGAACCATTGAAACATTAAGACAATCGTGTGATTGATTCAGTGTATGCTTAAATAGCAATTAGTAAACCATTAAAATACCATTGATAATTGTGTACCTACGTGGGACATTAGCGTGTCAAGTTGTCTCGTCCAAGACATTAACATATTTATAATATACCTATATTAATACGATTCATGGTTAGACAGCAGAGCTATTAAGTAGACATAATATTGCATATGTCCTGTAAAGGGGGGTATTGGAAGCGAGCAGTCTTCTATAGGCAATATTTAGGAAAAATTGGTTTTTAATAAATTTCGATATTGTCAATAAACTGTCGGTCAGTTTGTTTAAGCTTAATGTGATTGAAAGTGGTATGTTTTTCTTATGTTGTTTTAGAACCAAAACGCTTGAAAAAATTACTCCTACTTAGAATGATTAGATTTTAATTTTGTAAAGAGATTCCTGTTGTTTGAACACTGTACTAGGAAGTACAGGTTAGTATTTTTTAGGTTATGTAGGTAAACAGATAATTACATTTAATGTAATTAAATAGATTACATTTTTTATTATTAAAAAACGATTTTTTTTACATAAAAAACAAAACCAAAAAATCTGTTTCCGGTGTAACTTAGTCAAGTAAAACAAAAAAACTTGTATTATAACTTGATGGCTTAAGGTGTGAATTATTGAAACATGAAAATAATTATACAACGGACTTGATAAAATTTGGGAAGCCTTTCTTCAGAAATTTCTTACCACGATTGTTCAATTTACTTATATTTGGTGTGTAAACGTTATAGTCTTGTTACATGGCATGGGAATATTTAAAAAATCATAACTTTTATTCAAAACAACAGAGAAAAACGTTTGGGTGAACTGTAAATTTTCCTCTAGTCAGAAATTAAAGTTGTATCACTTTATAGCAAAACAACAAATGTCATTCTTAAATACACTTGTTAAAAACTTAAAAAAAATAAAAAATTTATCGTTATATGTGATTATGCAGAAAATGATTAATTTTTCGTTCAAGACAAATACAATCCTTCCGTTGCAATATAACAATTAAGCTTCACTTAATGTCTATGATACAACATCAGTTCATTTGTCTATTGCCAACTGGGTAATTAAATATTTAAAAAACAAAATTTAACAATATTAAAAAGGTATATTATTATTTTACAGATCACATAATTTGTTTTGGCAAAATGCTTAAGTTTTTAATCCTTTGAAAATTCAAAGACGCGCGTTTGGTTGATTTTTAAAAGAAGATCTTCGGCCAATAATAATTGTTTATTTCGGTAAAATATGGTTCGTTGTACATTAAAGCTTTAAACCAATAAACTCTTAAAGGAAACTCATGCCACATGCAAAATTCTGGAATTAGTCTTTCAATGTATTCAGTCTGTTTATCTACTTTACCAGTAGATATTCTGTTAAACATAATGAGTAAACTCGAGTTATTAAACATATGAGCTTATTTAAATTCCTTAATTAGCCAACATGATTTTACTTGAATTAATGGTTGGTCTTTATTTGTTACTCTGATGGTGTACTTGTCTTCGAAATAATCCTGATATGAATCATAATTACTTGAAGGAAATATGCTTTCAGGTGACATATCATCTTTATGAACATCTGTGACAAGGTAACTCTAGAAAAAATAAACAAAAAAGTAATTAAGATATCACACATTTTTTATTCAAAATTAATTATAAGCTAACTAATGACAACACTGAAAGGTTGTCAAATTAATTTACTATTTTACCATTTCAGCAAAACGATTAACACAAATTTCTCTATTATTAAAGATTGTCCATGTTTTTTGATGAGTATTTTTTAACTGATCTCAAAACATCAATATCACTTTAAATGCAATTTACTCGATTCATATTTATTGTCTATTGAAAACCTGATCAATTTATTATAAGTCAGCCTGATTTTAACAGCTAAATTGAATATACAGATTTGTATTAGATTTGATACGGTCTGGCCAGCTGTAGCTAGTATGTTTTATTAACTTTCTACTGTACAGCTGCTATAATAGCTGTCTAGCCAACTAGATAGTAAACATACTGCCCTAACTACTCTCTGAAGATGGGTTCTAAAATGTTGCCACAAAACTAAATACGTGCATTGTAATAATTTTAAAAACAATTAATTAATAATATATAATAGCAATACATACATATATTACTTATTTTATAAACAATTAATTTTCTCATTATATAAGTAAATTTGTTTTTAACTTACAGATGGCAATTTCTTTGAAGTTATTATTCGAAAATGTTCATCTGACACCTTAATAACCCATCAAAATTGTATCTATATGATGTTTTATTTGGTTGTGGATACACATTATTCAAATATGATGGACTAAATATAAAAAAATCAAACTTTTAATTAAACACTAATTATAATATCTGCACATAAATGTACACAAATAAATAAATAGGCATTGTAGTTTCAAAATAAGGATTAACAAAATAAACAATAGGTTTTGAAGTCGTGAAAAATTGCAATACTAATAAACAAATGGCTAAATATTGTAGTAAAAACTGAATTGTTTAAAAACATACTAATAAAATTCAAAAACTTTAACATTCATTAAGTTTTGACTTCTTAAAAACTTTCTAAGTAATATTTTTAGTTTACAGATAAATCTATTTCAAATTGTATCTAGAACGAAAATTGAGACTTTTATAAGGCAACAATAATGTTTTTTTGTGAGCAATTTGTATTTTTCAGATCCAATCTAACATGGCATAGTTTTTCACATGGTATGTATTTTGTTGAAAGACTTTATGATTATTTAAGCAAGCAAATGATAGGGAACTGATATTTTGCACTAAACAGAAATCAAGTTTCTTAAACCACATCAGAGACAAATCACAAATGTAAACAAATTGATGAATGAAATTGTATTTTACACTTACATAAATGTTAACAATTCTTTTCATTTTATTAGTTCCTGATTTATAGTCGGCAACACTTCTACAGCATTCTCTACCCAAAGTGGAAACCAATTCAGATCTTTAAATATAGGTTTGTTTTTAATGGTTGTTGGAAGTTGAACGCGGCACTTTTTTTTTGCTTTTTTTGTTTTGAACGAAACACTTCACCCTGTAAAAAAAATGTATAATTTATAACATACTTTTTTCATTTCTCTTTCCGTATACTTTGCGTAGGCTCACATTCCGCTCGATTTTGATGTTACATAAGAAGGATAGTTACTCATCTCATACCTGATGACATAACTGCATTCTGGTACGTCAATACCTTCTTCCAATTCTTCAGAAGTTATTGAAACATTTACAGTATTTTGGTGAAAACTAAAGAAGTTTAAATTTGTTGTACAATAAATACAGATTTATGTTAAACTATTATAGTTTTAATATTTAATTACTAACAAATAATGATAGTAGTAATAATAAAAAACTTAAATAGCTAATGTAACCATAAGTGGTTGATAAGATTCCATAAAAATATAGTGTTATTATTTTTGTTTAACACGTTCACTTCCACACGTAAAACTCTGGACAGGCACCATATGCCGAGTGATTTCCAAGTCGGTTGCAAAAGAGCTAACACAGTCTTTATATTTTTACAATTACTATTTATTAAAGTAGCAGTTAATGGAAGTATGCAAGATTTGCATCCATCATTTTCATATAACCATAGTGAAGGTTATTTAAATAACCTCATTTTATTTTCCCAACTGTTTAACTTAACCCTTTAAGTAGCAAGTCTATAGATCAAACTACTGTATTTGAAAGGAACTTTATTGGGCAAAAATCTAACTCCTTCGCTTAAAAATCATGAAAATCAACCCATAATAAAAATATAATTTGTTGAAAACTGGCCGACCGTGTTAAAATTAATTCACACATAGAAACAATCTAGTTTGACTACACATTTTTGAAAACATTTTCTTTGTTATAACTCCCATTCTACATCTACCAAAAAAAACTTTCCACTCTTTCTAGGAGAAAATGTTGAGACTTGAGAGTGATTTCGTCACTCTCAGTTGTAATAGTTCCTACAATTCTGTGGCAGCGCTAAATTTCACTATCTACCTTTAGTAGAATATAATCCAATAAACATTCCAATTGGTAAAAAAATAACACGCTTGCATAAAGTCTACTATAGAAAATTAACAGTTTACATTTAATAATAGTTGATACTTATAGTAGAACACTCACCGACTAGTAACTAGTAATGTGACGTCGGAACAAAAATAAAGGGCAAATATAAACACAAGTAATAGGTATTACAATTTACGAATTGTTTCAATTAATAAGTTAAAGATTATATTATAATATAATAATATATTGTATTTAATCAATGCCCAAATCCCAAACGGCCACCGGGCAGAATGCCGTTTGTTATCTCTTATCAGTTATCTGGCGTTATCTCTGATTTTCGGCGCGCATTCGTTATCGGGGCTCGCAGATGCGCAGCGGTTGGCCACACTGACGGTTCCGTTAAATCGGCGCGCGTTCGTGTGACTTGTGGCGTACGCGTCGGGCGACCGCCCTAGTGGGGACGGGGAGATAACCGATTATTATTTTGCCGTTTGAAAATTTAACGGATTCCTGAATCCAGGACATCTGCACACGGCGACCGAGCCAGATCTCACGCCAACGGGAACGGCGGTGCACGTCAACGCTTTTCCGGTTTCGTCAGTTAAATTTTTTTCACCTTGTGTTTACATGCTTTCCCACTTTTTTCACCGGATATCTCGCCGCTACTATCTGTACCGCGCCACAACAGCGGCTAAACCGTGTTAATAAAACCGTAGACGACCCGCCGCAGACCGCTCGGAGCAAGACCGTCCAGCAACAATAAAATAACAAAATATCATAAGACCGACCATCATTTTCAAAGGCCTATGAGTACACCGGATTCGTCGAACACGACAGACGACATGGCGCAAGGTTTGTGCATTTTATTTTTTACCGTGGAAACAATATAATATGTAAACCTGTGCGAAAAACGGCGGGAACTGTCGACGCTCAAATATTGTAAACAACTCTGACTGCCCAGACGGTCTATGTATCTTGTTTTTTTCCACTTCTTCGTTTTTGCAAATACTTTTACCTTACAAATAACCGGCCGTGGTGTTACATTGCCTGTTCATTATGCATTCACTGTTAACCACACACTTATTCGTATATATTATAAATATTTGCTTGTCACAACAATAACCTAGTAGTTAGTACTTACTCTAATTATAATAACGACTGTTTACGTAATACGTTTGAGTTATAGCACGTAAACAGTAATTTAAATAAAACAATATTGCATATTATATTTAACCGATGTAAAAATAATACAATCCATACAAAACCTATGTACTTCCAATATTCTTAATATTAAAATCATTTTGGCTAAGATATTGAAGACATTTTTAGATAAGTAACAATGTCAACTTGTATATGGTTTACAGTAAAAAAAATGAAATTATGACCAAAACAATCTTTTTTTGTTATGGGTCAATATTTGATATGAAGAGAGCCTATAAAATGGCCACACAATCAATTGATATTATACTACAATTATTTGAAATTTATTTTAGAAAATTACTATTACATATCAGGGTCGGCCTGATACCTAAAAGCATCCAATAAAATTTAATTTATACAGATTATATATCATAGACAATTTTACAATTGTTTTTCATGACCTTGCAATTTTAGTCAAGCCGATCCTGTTTCATAAAATATATACTTTAAGTAAGCTGTGTTTTATTGTTCCATAGTATTGCTGAGTTTCTGGCTCCAAGGAAATTGTTAGGTCTAATATCCAATATATCATCTTTCATCACATATCTAATATTTATTTCCATAAATTAAACTCATACTAATATGTAGAAATAATGTATAGAACTGACTTAGATGCCCCCGAATGTGGTCTATTATGGTATAAGTAATAGTTCCATAAAAATATAACTTGATTTCTTCTCTAAATGTTCACAAAATACATTGAAAATGTTTGTAGTACTTTTTTTTAGTGTTTTCTGTGCAGCTGGTTTCTATAATATACGTATATATCATATAATTTGGTTTGTAGAATTCATTTTTAATTTTTTTAAAATTAGATAATTAATGGAAAGGTATAATGAAGATAGCGAAAATGTAATAAAATAAAATTAAAAAAATACCTCAGATCTGTCTTAAAAAAATTAATAGTTAACCAAGAAATAATGATTTAGTTGTATTGTTTGGATAAAGAAAAAAGCAAATGGCAGTCACTATTCAAAGACGGTTAAAAAAAAAAAATTAGAACGCTTACCTTCATGCCGATTTTTTATTTTTAAATTTGAGTTTTAGAACTTATGTTTGACATTTTTTTTATTAATAAATCATACTAAATCAAATTTTGGCGTTATAACCCTATAGACAAATCATGTGTTTTCCTTTAACCCGTAACTGGTACAGAGATAAGAAGTCTCATAAGATTTATATTGATAAGCGGAGTGTAAAACCTTACTGTACCAGTTATAGGTAAAAAAAAATTATTTAAATCCATTCAATAGATTGGCCAGAAAATTACAGCAACCATACTTTGCGCTTGCAGTGAAATTTCAAAATGCTCCTTTTTGTTTTATCTTAAAGTGGAAAGTTTGTGGGTTTTACAGTTATTATTTTTTCGTACTTCATAATGTCATTACTTCATTAGTTGCATGTTTTTTAAAATTTTATATTACACACATGCCTCTGTTTTCAAGTTTTAATTCTGTAATGTTATATAATGCGTTGGCATATTTTAAGGTACCAGTTAATTTTTTTTCAGTTCCAATATAATTTATTTAAAAAATAAAAATAACATAATTAGTACCAAAACAAGTTAATTATAACTTGTAACTTGAAATCAAAAGCATTTAGATCAGTTTTATATTTAAGAAATAAATCAGATTTAAATATTATAGTCCATAGAGTTATCTATATAAGTTTATACTACACAGAAATGAAAAAACTCAGACATTACTTTAAATCTATCTTCTAGTTTAACAAGCATTTGATCGTAAACTTGGAAAATACCTTTTAATAATATATTAGGGTCATTTTTCATCAGGTTTTTTAAATACCTCAAACTTATATATCCTATGCAAATAGTTCCATAAAATCGATAAAGTGAGAAGAACAATGTTTTTGGACTTACAATGTAAAATCAATTTTGTTCACAAACGCGTTACTTAATGACTAATTATGATATCGAAATGAAATTTTCACTTAACAATTGTAATTTAAGTTTTCTTTTTCTTATTATCCTTTAAAAAAAAATGTTCAAGTTTTTAAGTAGCTAAAAATTGAAAAACAAATTCAAGACACTTTTATGCCAGACTCAAGGTCCAAATTTAAAAAAAAAAATGTTTTATTCTGACACATCTAATTACACTTATTTGATTCAACATTTTTTTTGGAAATTTGGTATTTTACTAAAAAGTGCAATATTCAATGGCCTATAACTTTTTAGGGCTTAAACTAAAAATTCTGTAATTTGTACAGCATTACTTATATGTATATAGAATATCTGGTAAAAGTTTGGTAATGTATACTTAATTTTATTAGCAGTTGTAAGAACTTGAATTTTTAACATTTCTTATTTTAGAACATCTTTTTAATTCATTTTCTAATAATATTCATAATTCTATTATTTTTTATTTAATATTATATCTATATTTGAAGAGTATCCCACACAAGTTATATATTCAACTATTTTTGAAAAAAACATTTCTTGCCATAAATTTAAGTTCAATATAGTTCGTCAATTTAATTATCGCTATAGTAGGGGTCCGGTTTTCTTCTCGATCTAATATTTTCTAATCTCCATAATGTGATTGTGAGCTGTGATAATGATAAGGCTCTCATTGTCCCTTTGGACATTTCTTACCGTCCAGCTTTATTAATTGAAATTACATTTGCCACTTTAGTAAAGGAAATCGACTTCAATGAAAGATGTTTTGATTTCAAACGTTTTGATTTTGCAGATTTTGGTTAAATTATCATAATTGGCAGGCTACTTTCAATGATTTCAACATTAATGATGCTACCTCCAAATTTTACTCTATCCTTAACTCTTCTTTAAATATTTTTGTACCTTAATATTCACGCAAAACATCTAACTTTCCTCACTGGTATAGAAACAAACTAAAATCTATAATCATCAGCAAAAAAATAGCACACAAACGGTTTAAAGTGACTAATAATCCTATTGATTATCAAACATTCAATGATATACGTCGTTCAGTGAAATTGGAATCTAAACTTTCCTATTCTAATTATTTAAAAATGACCCAAAATAATTCATTTCTAATCCAAAAAAATTTTGGGATGTCTTCCGCTCAAGGAAACATGAAAACTAAATTCCTCAAATTATGTCTTTGGACGAACATTCAGTAGACGATGGTGGTGGTATTGCAAACTCGTTTGGCTCATATTTCAAGTCGGTATACAGATGTTCAAAAAAATCCTATTAATATCTCTCTTAAAGATATCCCATCTAACGTCGTTGATTTAATTTTTGTTCTTTAAGTGATATTTTTTATGGTTTAAGTGCGCTTAAACCTAAAACAACTGTTGGTCATTATTGCCAATATTCACAAGTTATCCTTAACCTCTTCTACATTTCCTGATTTATGGAAATCTAGTTTCATTAGACCTATTTTAAAATTGGGAAATAGATCTAAAGTTGAATACTATAGACCCATCTCAATTATTTCCGCAATCCCTAAATTACTCGAGAAGTTTTTATCACAACAACACGGTTTTAGATCAGGTCGTTCCACATTCACCAACTCACTCACTTTCCATTGATCACTACTTGATTCGGTTGAAGTTGTTCTTCAAGTTGATGTTATATACTCGGATTTGCAAAAAAACCTTTGATACCGTCAATCGTCATATTCTTCTACCAAAACTACAACATTTTGGTATTTCCGATCCAATTTTATCTTGGTTCAAATCTTAACTTAGCTCTCTCGTACACGGATTGTTAAAATTCACAACTATTTCTCTTCTCCCATCTCTGTCACTTTTGGTGTTCCCCTCAAGGGGGACGTTTATCCCCTTGGCTACTTAACGTTTTTATTAATGACGTTGCTCCTTGCTTTCCTATGACTGTGTTGATCTTCAGAACTGCTTAAATAATTTTTATACATGGTGTGTTAATAACGACTTATAACTTAATATACGTCTCTGGTGCGTTCAATTCTAGACTATGCTTCAATGATTTGGACACCCCGTCAAGCTATTCATACTGAGAGACTTAATAAGATCCAAAAAAAAATTCTGTAGCTTAGTTTTGTTTCGTTGTGGTACTAGTTTAAATATCCAATCTCTAACGGATAGACATTGTGACTCCAGTGTGTCATTTGCTTATAAGTTATTAATTAATTAATATTATGTTTATTGTTTACAAATTATTAATGGTTTAATTGATTTACCGGAGTTCCATGAAATAATATCTTTTACAATACCTACATTTAATTTAAGAAAACCATCTACCTTCAAAATTAATTTTCATAAGACTAATATTATGGTAACGCAGCCCCCTTAGACTGAGCCCTACGCACAATAAATAATGTCGTTGATATTTTCATCGATTCTCAGCGGTTTATTTTATCTAAATTAAACTGATATTCTTAATGAATCTTAATTATAATTTTATTGTTTCTTTATTATGACTAGGTTATACTTTAATTTAATATTTAGTCTTGTAAGTTTTTGTGTTAAATACCGTACTCTGTGCCCCCGTGGCGTTAATTTACAATGAATAAATAAAATATATGTACATTTTTAGTTTTTCTCGATTTTAAAAGGAGAGAGAAGGACCAAAGTGCCAGTGGGATTGAGTGGGTTATAAAATATATATTGTGGGTCAAGACAAAAAAAAATAAACAATATCATTGTGAACAATACCTTCTTAGCTCGCATTGAAGCTTTAAATATATAAATTAAATAATTAAGATATTGTATTTATATTATAATCTTAATTAGACGGTACCTAGCTTTTTCCGTTAAGTGTTTTCTTTTTAGTCCAATTTTAAATGTAAATTAGGTAAATTGTTTGTATAGTTTTCGACCCATAACTCATTCAAATTTAGCAAATTAATTTAAACCGTACATTTAAACGCAATAGTCGAAAATGGGGTAGATTTAAATGAAAATCCTATTAGTAATATTTTTCATAATTTTATTTTATGTGGCAAAATTCAAGTTTGACAGTTACAAACACAGATTAGATCAAATTTAGATTTTATTCTTATCTGTGGTTCCAACCTGTAGTTTAAAGGTTTAAACACATTAAAATACTATTCCCACCATCACGAATCAAGTAATATTTAAAAATCTATCAATTATTATTTAAATTTAGCCCAACTATTGAGTACATTTGAATCCAAAGGGGGCAGATTAGAATGTATCTTATTAATATATTAAAATATGTACAATACAACACAATATTAATTATATATAAAACTGTTTTTCTTTATTTAAAGCAAATAAGTTAAAAATATAATATAAAATATTTCTAAAAGTGTTCTTTGGCTCTTAACTAATTTTTCTTAAAATTTCAGCAATTTATAAACACTTAAGTAACATACATAATACTTTATTAGTTTTGTTTTTGTAATCAACGTTAGGTAATTGATAGAAAACAACATTTTGGATCTGTATAAACTATTTTCTACTCACGATTAATGAAGTTGCGAGTAAAAAATGTCTTACAAAAGAAATAATAAATTTGTGTTCAAATCTATTTTTGAAAAATTCTATTACTGTGAAAAGTCCTTGTATTAACATTAAACCTTTGTAGCATGTATGCAAATCTTAGAACATTGGTTTGATAATGGTGGACTTTGATGTTATTTAGTTTATTATGAATATGGCTCGGGAGATGATAAAAATGACTTTAAAAAAATATATGAAAATATGACTTAAAAAACAGAAAAAATTACAGTTAAAAATGATTAATTAATTAGAAATAAATAACTAAAAATTTAAATAATAAAAAAATTTACATTTTTTTTAAATTGTTTTTTAAAAAATATTTTAAAAATTACAAAATTACTCTTTTTAATTACTTTTATTTTATATAAACCAATACATGGTAAAATGTAATCAAAGTTATTATATTGAATGGTAAGCGTATGGTTAATATTTTTTATATTATTAATTATTATTATTAATTGATCGGAGACTATCAGACAACAAAGTTTTACACTTTGAGAATTTTCTTTATACGTCGACTGAAGTAATTTAAAGTGAACCAAATCACAAGTAATTAAGTCATCCAGAAAACTATCGCTTGAAGTTGAAAACGTTGTTGGTATTTCTTTCTTAAAATATCTACCAAACATTACAATTCCAATCACTGATTGTGGCCAATTGTTTGACTTATTTGCGGAAAACGGTCATGCCCGATGGATATCATCATTATAGTTTACTAGTTCAGTAGTTCTGGGATATAAAACCCAACATATGTATACATAGTATTTCAGTAAATATTATAAATCTTTAATTTTTACAGGTGTCGCAAGCAATGAGTACGAAATTGAAACCATATTGTTTGATGAAATGTTTGGAAGTAAGACAATGTATCTGGTCAAATGGAAAAATTATCCAATGGCGCAATGTACATGGGAACCGTATCGAAATCTGACCAACTGTCCGGACGTGTTAAGCGATTACGAAACCAAAAATAAAGTTATCACTAAAGATGTTTATAATGACGATAAATTCAAAAAACTCAACGATCTCCTCCACGAATACACCGAGCAAGATTTGATTCACATGATGAAAAACCATGTCGATAATGGTATACCTCCCATTGAAGAGCGATTTCTCAAGGGTACAATTGGCTATTTGTCGACAGTGTCTACCACGTACAGGAGCAGAGGACTGATGAAGGTGGTGAAGCATAATTTAATGCTCATCGAAGTCAACAAAAGACGGCAAAGACAATTGGACAGGTTAGAGAAATGGCAAGGTGACATGAACAAAATATGTGGATTTAATTTGACCGTTGTCAATAATGTGGATTTCGAAGGACCTCCCAAAAAGTTCATGTATGTAGACGAATGTGTGGCCGGCAAAGGAGTGACTATTCCAAATGATCCGCCCGTTTGGTAAGTTGTAATGAAAAGTAAACAATCTCTGTTCGATAAGAAAACGCTCATTGGTCATAATGTTTTTGTTTATAGGTGTGACTGTAACGTAACTTGCGGCGGAAAAAAAAGAAAGCGCAACGGATGCCATTTTAACGATTCGCAATTCGCTTACAACAAATCGAAACGATTAGTCGTTCCCGCGGGCACTCCGATTTACGAATGTAATAAAAAGTGTTCGTGCGATGACTCTTGCATGAACCGCGTCGTTCAACTCGGTCCGAACAAGAACGCAAAGCTACAAATATTCCGTACGGACAACAATCGCGGATGGGGCGTCAAAACGCTGGTGCCCATCAAACAAGGAACTTACGTTACCAAGTACACTGGCGAAGTAATCACGAGCACCGAGGCTGAAGTACGGGCCAACAGCAATGGGCAAAAATCCACCTATATGTTCGATTTGGATTACAATACTGAAAAAAACAATTGCGTATATTCCGTCGACGCAACCATCTACGGAAACGTGTCGCATTTCATTAACCATTCGTGCAACTCAAACTTGGCCATATACGCCGTTTGGATCGATTGTTTAGATCCGAACTTACCGACGCTGGCGTTGTTTGCGTCCAGAGACATTGAGGTTGACGAAGAGTTGACATTCAACTATATGACCCAAGTGAATAACAAAAACAATAGGATAAAATGTAAATGTCAATCTGAAAACTGCCGAGGGTATTTATGCTGATAGCGATACAAATACAGCGATACGAAGGGAAATAAAACTTATACTCGTTGAAGGTTACATTTTTTTTTTTTATGGTTGTACATGGTATATATTTAAGAGACAACTAATAATTGCTCGGTAGTAAAATGTGTGTACACATTTTTAATTTTAATCGTATTACAAAATATGTTCTAGAAGTGACGTTTGCATTTATAACCTATTATTAAAATTAGTTTCTTGTTGACATTTTTAACTTAATTATTTATTTAATTTAGTTTTATAATATTAATTTTCTAGTATGTTGGTAAGGGCGACTAGTTAACTAAAAATAATTTAAATACTGGTTATTGGTAGAAGTGTGTAGTTCATGTTATATATTATACGAAAAACTCCGTTCTCGGAGTATCAATATTTCCAATACGATATATATATATCAATATAACTAGGTACATTTGTGTTTAAAATTATTAGCTACCAGTAATTCTTTTTTACCTTTATTATTATTACTATTAATATTTTTTTTTTTGTAATATGTTCCAATCTAAAAGTTCTACGGAGAACATAAAATATAAGCTGATGTAATATGTAATTTGACTTATATTTTATATTTCTATATACACGTTCGGTTGTATATTTTGTTAAAAAAAAAAAAAAATTTTGACTATATTAATTAAATAAGTACTCGTATCCTTATAAATTTTAAATAATTTAATTTTGTATCTAGTTACCTATAGAGTTAATGACTATTTGCTTTTAATTACGTAATATCCAAACGTGTTTTTGAACACTAATAGTAATCTTATTTATAATAGTAAATTTAAATGTTTTAAAAAATTAATATTTTTTTGATAATTATAAATTTAATTAAAAGTTTAAAATAAATCGCTTTGAGAGTACATTTTAAAAAAAAAACTTTTTTTTAATTTTGCAGCTGTTACTTGAAGTAAAAATGAAAAAAAAACCTCGCGTTAATAACAATTTCAATATTTTATAATGTACGTATTAACTGTTTTATATTGTATACTTAACTTTTTTTTTTTGGAAATATATTAATTAAATTTAGTATTATATTAATCGATTTTTTTTCGTGACAATTTTCCAAAAAAAAATTGTTTACATTAATTTGCATTTGTAGTCTTAGAAAACGTTGTTTATATTTTATATATTGTGTTCAAGTCGAGTAGCGTACTAATTGGTAACGCTATTAGACTACTCCCCCCTCCTACTACTCCCAGCATACGAGCTGGATGCTCTGTATGGTATTTAACTTAAATAATATAGTTATTATTATCATTTTTATTTTTAATTGCACTTTTCGTTTTAATAATCTTTGTATCTTTGAAATGTGGTATTTTTTTTTTTTCAATATGAATTAGCTGTAAGTTTTGGTAACGCCGCTGTAAGTCTAGCGTTATTGCCTACATTATATATATATTGATTAAATATTATAGTGAAACGTATGTAAATATTTTTTTCGTTTTTTGGGCACTTTTTTTTGTTTTCAATTACAATTATTTATATTGTTAATAACGAGTATTGTAGACTGAATATGTATTTTTCAAACTAGAGAAGAAAAAAAAAAAAGGGCGACTCAAGCGAGTATTTTTTATTTATTTATTTTTTTTTTTTGTAAATATTTTGTAGATATTATATATTTTATTAAATGCACGGTTCCGATTATTATAGCGTTTGCTAATATTGTAATAGTGTAACAGTTTTAAACAGTAAAAACACACCACAGTGGGGTCGGGGAAAATCACAGAGACTATATCGCTCCGTTACCACTTTTTGATGGAACCCCCCCCCCCTCCTATCACTGTATAGACAATAAACTTGCCAATTATTGGTTGGTTTTTTTTTTTTTTTGGTATTCTTTGAAAAAAAAAAATCTAACGACTTAATATTTTATTTAGCTAGTACTAGATGTACTATTTCCATGTTGTGTAAGCCTTGAAACATTTGTTAAAAGTGATTAACGGCTTTGTGGCAAGTGCAACGGGTCTAAATTGTTTACAACAGAAGAAAATAATAAATTGTCAAGTTTACTTGAATCGTTTTGACCATCCAAATGGTGTTGTTAAATTATTGCAACGTTAAATGCATAAACAAAACAAATCATAAATTCTGTGCACAATTTTGCAGTAGCACTGCCTGTTTTGTCGAACAGCAGGTTTAAATAACAAATCGAACAATTATTTAACAAAAGTCATAAGCGTAGCATTAAGGATTTTTAACAACTTTCAATAATATACTATGTTGTTATAAAAGTCCCCGTGCAGCAAAATTATTTTTTAAAGCTTTATAATTGTTTACAATAGTTGTTGAAAATATTTTTTATTGAAAATACCTATTCTTAATTCGTATTTTGGTAGAAAATCAATACAATTGTTGTTTTAAACAAAGTTTGTTAATATTATATTTCACGTGTGATTTTTACCGATTTGGCAAATTTTTGTTATTTTGCCGCCTTATTAACACTATAATATAAAATCTTATAAAAAACTTTATAGTGTCCGAAAATTGTTTAAATAGGGTACACTTTGTACTTGAGCATATTATTTCAGACATTTTTAACATAATTTTATTCAATTGTTAATATTATATATTTGGTTTCTTCTACAACTGGTTTTTTTTCCATAAGCTTGATCATGGGTAAAGGCATATAATAATATTTATAATACATAGATAATCAGAATATTATAGGCCCTAGCATAATATGTGTCGTTCGTTGTAAAAATGAATTATATCCTTGTGATAGAATTTTGAAATAACCAGATTTTTGTATTAATGTGTATGAAAAAAGATATATATTCATTAAGTGTTTGCTATTTTTTTTTTTTATTTGATTTTGTATTTATTGGAGCTGCTCATCTTTTATAATGAAAGACTGTATGTGACTCCCTTAATTAAAAATATGTATTTTTTTTAAAAAAAATTGGAGTTACACCACTTTTACAACGAACCACCCTATATGGTTACTCCTGTGCACGCAAATAATATCAACTATGACTGTTACAATGGACAATGTCTAACAATTGTTACTAGGTATTTTTATTCGACATAAACAACTATAAAATCTATAGTCAATTGCAAGGAATCGGTCTTGATAATATATGTTTTAGCTTAGCCAACTTAACTCGAAATATTTTAAACAATAACAATACAATGTAGCCCGTGCTAGAGCAAATGTAACAGAATTGGGTTTGGTTGTACAAGAACTATACAAGAAACAACTAAAAATGGGCAGGACACGTCTTGCTGAGGAAAGAAGGTTCATTGATAAAGTCAGTATTTAATCGATAAATCCTTTTTGGTAAATATACAGCGCTGTATCGACTGACAGAATGAAATGACAATGAGCTAAGTGTGGTTCAACAGATTTTTCATTGATCAATAACTGTATGGTAAATTCGCATTAGTGGATCAAACTAGTAGTAAATTGCGTTTTATCAGTATTTTTTATTGCGAATATTACAAATTCCACAGTATGCATTTTTAATCAGTGTTGTAGCAACTGTCTTCCAAAAATTATTTAACCAATAAAATTATTATACTAGTATAGTATATTTTTTAGGAAATAATAGTCAAACAATACAGCTATAATGATTATATATATATTTTGTAAGAAATACAATATTGAATATTAAATATGATTTCGTATCCATAGGTACCATAGCAGAACGTATTAAAATAGAAACAAAATTCATAAAACCAGAATGAAAAAAAAAAATCAAATTCTGTCGTTTAACATTCCCAAATAACAGTATTGTTTTAAATTGTGATACTTAATCACTAGTTTTAAATAAGGAAATTTTAGTTCAAGTGTTGTCACATTAATAGTGATCAAACCATAAAATTATAAATTATATGTTTTCAAGTATATTATTTTAATTATTTCATTTAAATATTTAATTGTTGCGTGAGTAAAATATTAATATTAAAATTTTTTTTTTTTTAAATACTAATTAAAACTCTTATGTGATTAGTTTATCGAATCTGTTGTATACAAATATATATATATACAAATACATTTTAAATACACCTTTATTTTATAATAACGTTTTGATTATGCATAAATGTACCGCAACGTTTTTTGATATATGGACTGCCCCTTAGAATAATTAGAGTGTTGGCAACACAACATACACAAACGCCATGACACTTTCTGTTATCAAATATTGCTGGCTAACTTCATGCACGTTAAAAATGCGTTATCTGTTTTTTGATAACAGATACTGTTATCACAACCACCACCACAGTACATGCGTTTTACCGGTTAAAATATAATTATTATTGTTATATTATTAGAGAAATCTATGATTATCAGAAGATTATTGAAATTTACTGATATTTGCGGTTTGAGCTCTATAAAGGTAAGTGTAATACACATATTATATATTTGGTCGGGTTTATAACTAAATTAGTTTGCCATACCCCACGCTTAAAATATTTACCTACTGTTTTGATATTAAAATTCTGCGTAACTTGCATTTTAATTTACAGACAATACACACGATGTCTTCGTCTTCGACGTTGAAAAAGATTCCAGACGTTGAACTGGACAACAGAGGCCGTTACAAGTATATTTTAGTAAAAGTTACCGATCAGAATGATTCAGCTAACAATTCAAAATACGTCGTTCGAGGAGGCCGACAATTTGAATATCACGGTTAGTTCTTTTTTACTTATAATGTTGTAGCAGAAAAACAAATAGGGAATGTTTGGCTTGTAAATTGTTGAAAATGCCGATTCAGTAGAGGTTATATAATGCCTTACAGTAAACATATTGCATCGTTAACTTTTTTTTTTTGTTACTTTGTGAATGAGTTTTGCAAAAGGTCTATTACGTCAATTCTACATTTGAACTGAAAATTGTCTAAACTGTTTTACTAAATTAGTTGTAGAATATTAAATTTTTTCATGTGAATTATTTTTTCTAAATTACAACAACTTGGACATCTGTTTTAAATTTATCAGTTATACATTGGTTTCAAGAGCAAGTTTCAATCCAACTTATTAAGGCTGTTCAGGTTGACTCGTATTATTGTATTTATCGGTGTAGTGACAACTCAATTTTTGATATTAATTGGTCATACCGGGTGATATTTTCTATACTAGTTTAAAATTAAGTCGTTAATTAAAAAAAGAAATGCTATTATTAATTTTAATTATCGGGGATTAAAAAACATATTAATAGCAATTCAAAGTTATGCAGTTATTATAAAATATATTCGATTTTGGTTTTATAGATTTACAAAAGATGTCAAATAATAAAAATGCATAATATTTGTAACTATTTTACAAGTACACAAATATAAATATAGCTTAAATGTAATATTATTTACAAATAATGATTCCTGAGTAGCTTTAGTATGTCTTTCTTATTTCAACGATGACAGAAATTGTCTTTTTTTACGCTCATTAATTTTTTTATGTAAACTAACTTAAGTCAAAGTCAAACAATTTGTGTATTTTGAAACTGAAGTTTTGTTTTAATCAGAAATATTATGCTTAGATACATATTTACATAATTTTTTTTTATGATTTTGTTCAACTATTATAAAGGTTAATTTATCACATAAATTATTATGATCTAATGGTCGAGATAGTTATTAGTAAGTATGTGTATTATTGTAAATTTAAATCCGTTGAACGTATTTCGGATGAAACTAATTGGACGGTGGATATCTCGTTATAGATTTGAGCAAATGAATCAGTCGGAACGTTTTAATAAAATACTAAATTATTTTTTATTAAAGGCCTCGACAGCCGAGGTCTGGCTTGTATACTAAATAATTTATTAAACATACACAATTTAAATGTTTACTTAAAATAATGATTCTGTGACAACTTATAATAAAACAAACATATTATTAAAAAAACAATGATGTTTATTTTTAAATGGCATAATATCGTCTATATAGTTAATAATCATAAAATATCAATTAAATGTCATGACAGTTGACGGGTTGGATATAAAATATTTATTATAATCTAAAAACCTTAACTTGTCTATAAAATAGCATCTAATAAAAAAAAAACATAACTATAAGGCATACGTCTTATAGATTAACAAAGTATATTTCCCGTTTATTTCATCAAGTGTATAGGATAAACAATGTTTTATCGTGTTTCTTAAGAAAACAAAATTATTAGTGATTGATAAGAAAAAAAATGTACATAACATTGGAGATTAAAAAAAAAAGGTTTTTTAATTTTTTTTAATATATACTTACCTACCTAATAAAAATGGGTAACTTGAGCTACTGTTATTTAAAATATTATTTTTATACTGCGTCGCTGTATGTTTATTTAAAAGTATAGCCCACAAGGAAAAACAATAATTGTATCGTACATTGTTTCTTATAGTATGTCTTATTACATTTATAACGATTGAAATTAATTAAAAATAATTTGTGGCTCAAATCAAAAGCACCATGTGAAATGTTTCCCATTTTTTGGATTTATTATATTCAAAATGACTAGTTGTAATATGTTCAGTTCTGAAGTTAACTATTAAGATAACATAGTTTTCCATTTATAGTCGAATCGCATAAACATACAGTACGACTATCGTTTAAAATACAACATGTAAAAACACTGGTGTTATAAATAATTATAATAAGTAAAATCCCCCCTCCCCCCCCACACATACACACGAAAGGGGACCGGAAATGGTTAAGATTATCTTAGATGAGTGCTCAGGTTTTCAACAACAGCTATCTAACGGAATTCGGAGATCACTATTTTTATCATTTTTTGGGGTGACATTTAAACAACAAGCGTTGAGGATGATTCCATTCATTGGTCGGACAATGGAATATTTATTGGTTATTTTTTGAGCTCAGACGATAGACTTTGTATTTGGAACAATTATTTACAGCTCTTGTGTACACTGCCAAACTACATATGTATACAATAACAGTTAACATACACACACGTTGTGTACCATCCATCTCAAACGTGGGGCGGTTTTTTAGTACATAGATTTTAAAATATTCTACCCTGCAACAAATCAGCCTAATATATTATTATTTCAATATTTACCGTGTTCCGTTTTGCCGATGAAAATTTCAATATATTTTTATTTTATTATAAAACATGTAAAACGACAATTTCTTTTTAGGCAATATTAATTGCAACGCGAGCACATAATATGTCCATTACCACACACACACACACACACACACACACACACACGACTCGTCTTCCTCTAAATATAGTTCCGGTCGGAAGTAATAATATTAAACACAACGAGAGCTGTTGACTAATAGAAACACATGGTACAGGTACGACTTGAGAATATAATAATAGAAATCTGGTTAAACGACAGACGGGAAAATGGCCGAACACGATATGTGTTTTCTCGTTGGTCGTTTTTTTACCCTTAAATAATTGGCGTACATAAAAAAAAAAACGTTGAATATGTATATGAGTTCATAACGCGCTTACAAATTATTTTACATTTTTTTTTTTTTTTTAATTGATATATTTATTTTCTTTCCGTTTTTTGGTTTTGGACCCACGTTCACCATCTGTAGTTGCTGAAACAGCACAAAATTCTTTTGAACTTAAAACGGTTCGCCTCGTCGTTGTCGGCTTCTGGATCGGCCGTAGCTGTTGTTGTTGTCGAAGGAGGAACTTCTCGATTGTCGGCCGATTCGATTAATCCTCAGAGCTCCAGACCGCTGTTGTTGGTGCACCTTTCGTCGACGGCTATGACGGCTTCTTTGCCGACGGGCGGAACAAGCGGACACGGCCCCAACGATGCGCACGACGTGTTCTTGCATTCTGATAAAAAAAAAAAAAAAAACACATTGGCCATTGCATAATATTGTATAGTCCAAATGAGTTATTCGTTCGGTTTTTAGATAGAAAAGTGTATGATAAAATTTAAAAAAATACGTTTTCTCTTATCATTATTATATCTTATCACTTTTTTCATATCTCTTATCACTTTTCTCATATCTCTTATCGCGTGAAAGTGAAAGTTTAATGCGGAAATGGCGACGTGAAATTTCACGCATCCCCAGCCCAATAACATAAATTATCATTGTGGGGAAAATAAAAATATCCCTCAAATGGCGTCTGAGAAATAATTATTCGGCCATTCGATCGAGTAAAGCGGTGTACCTGTGTCAAATTTGTTGAAATTTCGTGTTTCTTACTGTCAGTTGCTTACATAAACGGAGTCGATACATACTCTACGGCGTAGAGCTTTCTTTTTATGGACAACAAAAATGTCAAAAAACGTAACGCAACACAGTTTCCGTTCAGTCTCCTACACCTTACTCTGTCAATGTTTCTTATATTTTTCATTTTCCGAATTGAACACACACTGTGGGGTTGGGAATGTCGACCGAGTACGATCGAGCCAAAGCTGGTTTTCAACGTCAGTCTGGCCTCTAATGACAAACCAACCTGAGAGGAACGCGTTGGACGGCGTGTGCATCAACGTAAAGGGCAATTTCAGAGACATTTGTCCGCCCATCGCGCCTATTAGGAGTTTCACTTTGACATAGTACGTGACGTATATGGCGAACACGTTTCGGTCTTCGGGCGACACACACACCACCGTGCTGGACAGAGATCCTTCTGCCTTGTTGACGGCTGTGCCCAGAGAGTCTTCCAGAGCGATCCAGTTCTTTGTCCTCGCCTTGATCGGATACAACTTGTACTCCTTCTCCAACGAACCGCCGTTGCCGGGTATTGGCACGTCGGTGCACTCCTCGGCGGCCACTGTGTTTTTGAATTTACCGTTGCTGAACATGCACACGTCCACGTGTTGCACGATGAACACCTGTTGATGAAAATTGTTCAGTTTACCATTTTCGCGGATACATTTGCAGAAAAAGGTGGGAACCGGTGTGCATATTTAATATGAGCTGCCATGCTACCGTATGGCAACGTTTGCACAACGTTGTTCATTGTCTCGGATTCGAAGTTTGAACTTATAATGACCGATTATCCTAGAGCATCAAGTTCGATTCCCTCCGGGCCGTGGCACAGAGGTTATCTCTCACGACCGTCAACAAATTAACGTTAGGTACGTTTGACAGTTATGCATGTATAATAATACAACGTGTTTGTACACTGCAGGCATAACAGTGCTAACGTGTGAAATCATAGTGTCTTACTGATAATTGTCAAAAACAAATGAAATAATAATTTCTGTTCGAGCGGGTACAAAATATCTTTTATTGATTGAAGTCTATATTTAATTTTAAACTTATCGCAAATCTATATTAACGTTATTTCTCGAATATTGCAAATAGGATGCTATTGCATGTTTGTCGCTGATGTTATATAAGATAAACAGCTCTATTATGTCGTTGTTTTAAGAGCAATCATTTTAATTATGACGATATCATTTAGCTTTTTTGTTCGTTTATAACTATTATATTGGTGGCCTGTAATTATAAGAAAATGAGTTTTACTTCAAAGAGTTTATCGTATTACACTTACGTACACTATATAAGCGTCGACATAATATTGTATTGTATGTTTTAATTTTTAATAGATTAATCTACATGATTTTTTTTTATTAAACTTTTTGTAATAAGCTATTGAAAGAAATAGTATGTCATAACTCCGTTATTTGTTAAATCATTAAATAATAAAATGACAATATCTTAGTTGTGCAATCTCATATCTTATTTCTGTAACAACTGTGAATAAGTGTGTAAGTCGATTTTAGTGATTTTACAGGGGAGCGTTTTAAACTTAGACCAACTGCCATAAATCAGGATTTCATTTAAAACATTAAATTTTTTTATGATCCTCTTATATTGATCAATAATTTAGAGGTACTCAAGTGGTTTCTTTCAAGTTTAAAATCGCTCCCCTGTAAAATCACTGAAATTGACTTGCACACTTATTCACAGTTGTTACAGATTTATGCAATCTATTCCTCGTATCATGAATTTATTACCTTTATGCGCTTAACGGCTTTTTTAGTGGTGTTTTTTACGTTGATACTTATATGTACAGGATCACCGTGTGTGTAAATAGCTTTGTCTAGATTCGCCTCCAGTGTAACTTTTCCGTCACTGAGCAAAAACGGTTTTTCTGACGTGGCTTGTGGTCCCCTTTGCCGCCAACCTTTAGGCTGTTCTGATCTAGGGGTGGGCGTAGGCGGTGGTGGTGCTGAAGCCATCTGAACTACTTTGATACCCATTTTTACAATGTTCTTCCTCTGTAGCTTTTCGTCTGCTCTCTCGGCTGTGAAACAACGCACGTTATAACATTAAATATGGCCATACTAAACATTTTCCTTTTCTAAAAATACATTTAAAATTGCTTCATAAATCTCTTGAAACGATTAAACTAAAATAAAGTCCTTACTAATTAAACTTTTTATATATCTACTTATTAATTTGTGAAATGCATACATTTCCCCCAGATATTTAACTTTTTACACCCTCCCCCTTCCCAACAAGCACAGCTTTTGCGAAACAGGGGCTTGACAACTTTGTTAAACTTGTTAAAATTTATCGATGTGAGGAAATCCGTTAAAGTTTTGTCATGATTATCGGTTTTGTGGTTTCTCTTGTGTGTAAGTAATTGAAGTTTTGCTGTTGGTGATGTCGTGTATTTCCTAAAAGCGTTTGGTAAATGTGTAATTAATTCAACCAAACTACTTGCCAAAGTGACTGATATGATTTCAATTTGATAACACTAAGCCTTTTGCCTTTAGGGAGTTAAACTTTAATATATTTTGACAACATTATGGGGCAACGTCACGTTTTTCATCCACAATCGTTTAAAACATTTTGTATTTATTTTTTAAAACTTATATTTCGACGTTTTACCCACAAGTGTTACAAGTATTAATTATTATTCATGAATTAATTATTTATGTAAATACATGTATAAAATACATATATTATTTTTTTAATTTTCATAAGTATACTATTAATTATGTACATTTTACTTGGCAAAATGTTATTGGGTTGTTATAATTTTTAATAATTACCAATATATATGCGTATATCATAGCTGGTTCCTATTGGCGCTCCGTTGTATTCTTTGGCTGGAACTAATTGTACACTGGGCGGAGCTAAATGTGTTACTTCCATTGAAAACGGATGTGCATTATTTCCTAACCTCTGTATCAACATTTCCTGAAATCGTCGGTTATCGTTTTATTACAAAATTCGCGCATGCCAATCATTATTGTTATTAACATGTATTTATGAACACGGATAATTAGAATTCGATTTCAAACACTCGAATATTTGTTCTACCTATATTATGTATATTTGTTGTACAACGCGCATTTCACATAACACGGTATTGCTACGGTTGTAGAATATACATAATAAATCCTCGGATTAACCTTACTTCAGAACCGTCTACAATATTGGTTTGTCGAATTTTCCAAGTGTAAACATTATTATACAAATCGGTATACTTAAATGGTTTTGGTCAATGTACCAGGCCAAAGCTATCCCTGCCTTACTCGTTGAGTTTACCTGCAAAGGTGTGTTTTGATCTCGCTGCGCGTTTTCGTGAGGTGGGTAAATTTGTGCTAAGCACATGATTGCTTCGTTGCAAAACTTAAGTCCCATGACTTCTTCGTCTTCTCGGCCGTACCGGAACGTCAGCGTGATTTGTCCATAGACCTAGGAGAAAAAGGAAAACGCTGAATTAGTTTTCGTTGGATTAGTTGGTGGTCAGTTTTAAAATCTTTTGTTTGTTCTAAACAATCCAATAAACATTGTGGTAAAACCTTAAGTAACTTTGGTGATGATGCATTGACCCGATCAATTGACAACGTCAGCCGGTTCGGCGGGATTGGTGATATTGTGTATCGAATAGAAAATTAGGAGTTGAGATGTTCTATTATTGACAGCTGTACGTTTTGTAGCTTAGCCTTAGGCAATTACGCGGTTTAGAGAATGGACAGAATTAAATGCTTCCTCTTGAACGCCGCCCGCCATTTAGAATCCATTAAAGGCCACGGAATTGAACCGGAAATTACATCCAACAACAACCGTGCGTAACAACACTCAGCGTGACCGCGTGGAAATGCTTTTAACGTTCTAGCCAAATCGCTTCATACCGTTTGGAAGTGTCGTGTCGCGCGTCTGAGGGCTTTGCATGTAGGCAAAGGGCGAGGGGAATGCGAAGTTGGTTGAAATTGTGTACAAAGCATCCGAGTACACTTAACCCGACCATTTGCGGTTACGAATAATAATTGTTTTGAATAATTCCAACCAACAGCTGTTGTTGACATCACATTTGTTTCAAATATTTTTTACCAACTCCAAACCGTATAATTCTACTCACAAACACCGGCAATGCGGCGAGTCCAACGTGTACAGCTTGTATTCTTAATTAGAAATTGTTTAGACTATACTCTAGGTTTTTATAAGGTATAGTCAACAATGCCGTTGATGGTGTTCGGCTAAACCGTTGAATTTAAAAGCAATCCAAATTAAAGGGTGTCTTTCGGTTATGGAATATTTTATCAATACGAATTACCACGTGAACCTTTCCTTTCGTTCTCGGTTTAAATAACATAACGTCATAACCTGACCGATATGACCGTCTTTCTTCTTCCTACACTCTCCCAGACAACCCTGCTGAAAAGTCCAAATGAATACTATTACTTGTCTAATACTCATCACCCCTGAAATTTTGAATTGAATGTCGACACTACTGAATGGTTTTCTAACTAAAATTGTTATTCATTTTCAATGTAACTACAAAAGTGATTTTTTTTTTTATTACAATTTGATCGGTCAAAGTTTTTGATTGATGAAAATCCGCAAATAACGATTACGCGAGAGTTAATCTTCGGTGAAATTTTACTCGTTTTATATATTATACAACTATGCATTTTCATTGTTTTACTTGTGCTAACAACAAAGACACGGTGTCTAAAAATAATCCAGCTTAATCCACAGTATTACGAGTAAACAATGATGTTAAAGTTGTGCGTAAAACTGTAATATAAAGTTTACCCAGCGAAACTTTGTACTTATTAAATGTTTGAACAATTTTAAACGCGTTTAAAACAATTAAGTTTACGGTGTTAAATCCAAAGAGTCGCCAATTGAAATCCCGGAACGATATATGGTCGGTCTGGATATGTTGCATTTCAACAAATCTTACTGTATGCACTTCTAACATTAACATTGATCCAACAAATTTAAAACCAACATTGGACAATTGAACTACACCAGCCAATGTATGTAAAACGTCGAAAGTGACGATCAAATAATTTGATATTCATTGAATACAAATTTCATAGTGTTACTATTCCTTTTCAATGTCGAGATTTTGTTGTTACGGTATTGGAATTACACAACTCATAAGATGCTTACTTTTTTCTTTGGGTCTTTCAGTAGTTCTGGATCAACCAAAACGATACCGTGGATTTTAGTGGCGGAATTGTTTGATACCACAACGTCTCTGTTGCCCAAATACAAACACAGTTTGTTGTTTTGTGCGGTTTTCCGAAAAACTCTGAAAAAGTATAATCAACTTGTATAAATAACATGTTATTATTCATATATAAGGGGACATTGAATTAAACGGTATTCAAGCCATCAGCAATTTTTTATTTATTTATAGAACTACTTATTACCTGTGAGCAATTCCAGGCATAGAATCTTGAATACAAGACCTGTAACAAACACATTCGTTGTATTCTTCGTTTAGTCAGTTAAATGTATATTTAAAAAATGTGCGTTATATATTTGCAATAATTTGTGGTATATATTTTAAGGAGGAAAAAGGTAAATGGGTAATTTATCTTAAAGATTTGTCTTCGCTCCTCAACGCCTCCTCTTTTTCTGTTTAGATTCCTTTAATAGTGTTTATAAAAAGTAACAAATGTGTCGTTATAAGCAAGCAGGCAATTGTTGGAGCGGATGCTGAGTTCAAAATTTGATAACTCATTAATCTAGCGGTAAAAAACCAAAAATAAGGTTTGTCTTAAATAATTAACAAATGTGTTTACAATATGAATAGACAACAGAGAAGGCGTTGTATTGTTTTACACGGATACAATCTACGCTATAATGTTTTACATCTTTTGCACAGATTGTTGTGTTGCCTTTAACGCCTTAATGTAAATATTGTTGTAACATTTGACGTTTAGTCCGAACGATTAATTATTTAAGATGCGTCATGTTTGATTTTTCAGACTCCAGCGTTGTGTTTAGAATACAAACACATTTATTACAGTCGCATTAGTAGGTATACTCGACGAAGGCTCGGATTGCTTTCAAACGCTACGTTTACATCCTCGGGACAGTTATGGCACGATACAACGACGAGCAACAATTTATTCGACTTAACCTGAGTAGTAATAAAAAGGGGCATTACCGCCCATTTTATACAAATTCTAGTTCAACCTTATATATTGTTTAGTATAGAAAATTCTTTTGCAACATCGAGTGTTTTACTAAATAACAAATGGGAGAATAAATTATATATATATATAAAAACATGTTTCAAATAAACTATACTCATTTTAATAAATTATGTGTACGTAGAAAAATTTAAACAGTATAATAATGGTAACAGTAAAATCTCAATAGTCTAATGTACGAAAAACATCACATTCGTTATTATAATCATCCATTATTATATATGACTATAGTTTATTTGAAACATGTTTTTATATTTAAAATGTATTCTCCCACATCTTATTTAGTAAAATACTCGGATGTTGCAAACAAATTTTCTATACTAAAAATCATATAAGGTTAACTGGAATTTGTATAAAATGGGCGGTAAAGCCCCTTTTTATTACTACTAACCTGCCTTAAAAAAAAAAGAACTTTCGCCCTTAAAGGGGACCGGAAAACACGTTGATTAGTTTGTATTACTCTGCGCAGCCGGAGGCGGCTACGAAATAATATAATATTATTACAGCTGTTATGATTATACATTTTTCTCTCTCTCTCTCTCTCGCTCTTGATATATTTCCCCGGGGATAAGACAGCAAAACGTTTATTATAAAGCAGGATGAAACGAGTCTTTGCGAGTGCGACTCACGTGTTGTCTCTTAGCCGGCACGAACGGTTCCATTACCCGTGGCCCGTCTGTTTATTCGACTCACCGCGACACAACGTGGCGGTTATAATAGCGGTCTGTACTTATACTTTCATTGAAATGGCTTAGCGCCGACTTTGGGGACACGCCGGGGGGGGGGGGGGTCATCACGTATTCGGTGCAGACGAGGTGCGAATAGCCCACAACAGTCGAGCGTTATAATGGATTTTTTTTTCTCATAATTAACACGTTTGTTGAAAATTCTTATTAGACTGATAATTGTTTTCACTTTTTGGTCTCGGCGACCTGAGAATATTATAAAGTTTGTTGACATTTTTTTTTTTTTTTTTTTTTGAGCGCACTATCCGATTTTATTTAATCCGCGGTATTAGGCGGATAACATTGCGGACTATATTACCACGTTGATAATTATTATCCCTATAAATACCAGCTTAAGCGGTATAATGAACGAGACATTTTCACGGCGTCGTTCACGGATTTCTAGATATTATACAGCTGTAGTTTTATTTAAATTAACTGTTATTAATATGTTTTTCCTGATGCGGTCGTTTGCGGATACGAATGTTTACACTTAACGTTCTCTCTCTCGTTTGCTATGGAAATTTCAAAGCGTTTATTATTACCTGCTCGGTAGGAGGGTTGTGTATTATCATTCACGGTTAAGTAGTTCAAAGGATGTGCTCTGGTGCATGTGAATTATGTGAAATGCCCCCGGGGCAAGTAGCGAACACCCCCCCCCCCCCCATGTAGGTCTGGCACTGAAGTGTTTCACGAATTCGTAGTAACGTAGCGTTTATGTGTAAAATTTCGGGAAAACCCGAACTTTATAAGCTGTCCACGTCGAGTAGATGTGTACAAGTGTAGTAAACGGTGTAGGGAAAAAACATGTACAAAGTATAAATAACGGTACTTTTAATGTTTTAATACAAACCACTTATTGTATTCGAACTTTCAATTATATATTTTGTCTTAAAAACGAATAACGGTCGTTCCGATATATATAAAAGGAAATTTATATATATATATATATATATATTGATTCGTCTCATCTAATTTACGTAGTATGAATAACGGCAAAACCGTTTACGCTGACTATGCTATAATCGAGATTGAATAATAATACCTTTTTTATTATTATTATTCCGAGAGTCGTGGAATATATATTTCATTTTCTTTGACAACCAAGAAGAGAGTGGGATTTCGAGAGGTTTTTCAAGCAGATAGGTTCTTTGCTATAAAAAAAAAATATATATATCTAGATAATATATTGCTTCTTTTTTTTTTGCTTGCAACGTACTGTCGGAATTGTTGAAAGCCTCATCAGCATGCCACGAGTTGATAAGACTCGGGTACCCTTACATTAAGTTGTATTAATTATTTAATATTTGTTGTCTAGAATGTGAACATTGTAAAAAAAACTTGTTTCTAAGCAAGAAAAAATCGTCGGGGTGTGTGTGTCCTTGTGATATATATATGTATATATCTTACTTTGGTCATCATGGTCTTATTGCGGTCAGTAAAGTACAACTTTTCTAATGTTTTGTCGTTAGTTAGTTAGTAACCGTGTTTGTGTGTCTCGTAAAACAACAGAATGAACACGGTTTATTTTGGAAATTTATGATTCGAGATAAAATAGTGTTCACTGTTGTGCCGATGATATATAACGTATCTTGTAATATTATACAAGGTGTTTCAGCATTGATGCTAGAATACCCCCTGTATATCAATGAACGTGTGGCTGTATCATAATCGCATAACCGAAGTGCCGGGTTACTAGTTACTGTCAAGACACTCCATATACGTATACCTATAATTATTCTTGGAACACTATTATTTCCGGATCTCGTAAATATTTAAATTATTCAAAGTTAAGGTTAATCAAAAGGGCACGTCGTCGTCGGGGACTCTACTTGGGTACCATATTATGTTAATGATATTAGATCCAATATGTTTATGAGTTTATTTGGGAATAAAGACTATCAATGTAAAAATTTATCAGTGTTGCAGCATTTAGTAGCATACATCAATTTGTACAATTATTATATTAAAATTACTCTCTCAATAGTATAACGAATTTATATACAACAATTTAAATATAAAAAATATAATGTTATAGAAAATGTAAACTATAAAATCATGCGTACAAACCAAGTATAGATTACTAAGATTACAATTTTCCAAAATGTATTGGTAAATGTTAATTGCCCAGCGCTTCATTAAGATTAAATTTCCGATTTATTTTTTTTTGCAATTAAGCACGCACGGGACTTCCAACAACTTTGGTTTGTAATTAAACCGAACGAAAACTAAGAAAGCGCTGAAAACGTTTTAATTAAACCACAACCTACTAATATGCAACCATCGGCTAAAACTTTTCATCCCGTTAGTACTCGAGAAATACTATTGGAACGCAATTTTGGTATTTTACCAGTAGAGAGTATCGTATCTTAAATTAATAATTATGAACCGTTACGTCAAGTAATTTGCACTAAAATTGATGCTTTGATTAATATTAATATTGTTATTTGCATTTTAAGACAGTTTACAGACAAGACGATTACTTTGTTCGTGGAAATATTTACATGAATATATATTTTACCGCCGAGGGTCGTTCTCCGAAATGTCCGTGGCTCTCGGACATGACTTTGTAAAAGGTATTAATAAAATATAAATTAAGTTTAGAGCGACCACTAGTGTGTAGGAAATATTACACTCAAAGTGACGAACGTGTTTTCAAGAATAATATAGTATGCTATGCAAACCTGTGAATGTTAAAAACTAGAATAATGCAACCTAATATCTATGACTGTCGTTTGATATGGGTGTATGAAAAACTAATTTAAAAAAAAAACTTCTGTATATACAAATTATCTTTGGATTGCTCCGAGAAAGTATAATTTGGAGTTTCTATTGAAAAGTTGTTTGCCAAAAAAGTTTTTTTGTGCATTGTTAGTATGAGCTTAAGCATAATGACTTTGTCAACAACAACACATTGATAAGTACCGAAGTTCCAATTTGTAACTAATTAATTATGTTAATCGCAGTATGGTTTCATTTCAATATTCATTAATGTATAGTTTATTTTTGGTACATCTTGTTTGAGAGGTTTACCTGCTCCACGCATTTCATTACACCGAAAAATACGTTAGGTCTAAAAGGTTAGGTCCGAGTGTTGATGAGTGTTGTTGCTCAAAGGTTTTATCACTTTTAAGTGTTAATTGAACTGCTATAGTCTGTACCGTAGTAACCGCAACGACCCGACTGTGTGTTTAATCCATGTTTTATTAGCAAACACCATATAATCTAACAGCTGTCTACAAATATTTCCAACTTGAGGATTTAGGTTATTCATTTCGGGTGAAAACCTATCTAAATGACAGCGATTGGTTAAAAGGTGACATATTATATCTCATAAGTTATAAAAGCGTGATTGATCAATTGGTAAACACATTGCTATAAAAACGCCATTGTCACAAAGAATATCCGATAGGAATACTGCGAACGTGAAAATGATTTATATATTTATGAATTTGTTAATAATACTTATGTCAATCGTTTGGCAAACTACTGAATTTCTAAATAATGCTTTGGCGTTAAATTAAC